AAGTAATTTTACAGATATAACCATCAAAACTGATCTTATCCCAAAATATGAAATATTGAGGTGCAAAAAGGTGTGTAATAAAAAAAAATAATTGAGTAAGTAACACGCCCATTTCTAGGATTAAAAACAAAATTCAAGTACTCACACTGAAGCGTTTTGTGTTCGTACCGGCCGACAAAGCAGCCAACAATGTGGTTGTGGTATGGCGTAAATACTACACGGAAGTCCTTAAGAATGAAATTATACATCCAACTACATTCAAGGCCGTACGCTCCACAGAGAGTCAAATAGTAAATAATAATGTCACTACCACAGCTCAGCTTAATCCCCCTCTGAATATGTGAAGGTCCCCACTATGTATTGGTTTCCTAAACTACACAAAAAAAAACGTAAAATATCGTTTTATCTCGATCTCTAGCAAGCGTTCTACTACTAATCTTGCAGTGCTTTTAACGAGTTCCTTATCTACTATTAAAGAACACGTATCATTAACTTTTGTAATAAAACATATGAAAAACGTGGAATTATCTTTTTGAAGAGTAAAAAAATCTTTGGATGTTTTGGATAAATTACGTGCTTTCTTGTTACCACAAATTACTTAAAGCCTTAACTAAATTCTTCCATAGATACAAATATTTGGTTTGCAATTTTGGCTGTACCTGTAGAAAACTTATTTCAAACGGAATAGCACATCCTAAATTTTACGTGATGTTGTTAACCGGGCCCGGAAATTTAGATACGATCCGGGTAAACTTATCAATCCTTTAAATAAACTTATTATAAAAGGTTACCTATTCAACACTGTAATTAAATCTTTGAATATTGTTTTATTGGTATAAATATAGAGTTTGTTATCAGTAAATCAAAACCATACTAAATATTACACATATGTACTTTCACGGTACTACAATCTGTCGAAAACTATATTTTGGCATTGCACAAGGTCATGTTTTTCTCTGACTGTATGTGACGTCTTTACACTAAATCCATTGGATGTTGGATGTGTACTGATTGATATTTTAGTCTTAGATACAAGATTTTTTTAATTAGTTGTTATTGGCTTTGAACTAGCTGTCAGTAACTGTGAGTATTCTCAGATCTGTACTTAGTGTCTTTTTTCTTATTAGGGATGAGCTGGGAACAGTATATCAATATATATGTTCCTGGGATGAGGGATAGATAGAATGAATTTCATAACAGCGTGGACATGGACACATGGTAATTAAATGTTATCGTGTGTATCACTGGCTGTCGATAACAAAGACTTCACGCAATTACAGTATGTCAGGGGCCTCTCAATGGGGATATACATATTTACTATTTTTACACATGTCCCTTCATAAAATAAAAGTTTTTGCATGAAAGTTTATAGGAATTTGTTATGAATACAATGTATATTTATATACTCACAACAAAAAGTTTCTTTTGACAGAATGAGTATATCCAGAGGTGATACCAACAAAAAATCGAGAAAAAAAAAACGTTCTGTGGCTCCTTAAAAAAAATAAGAAAACATTTATTCCTACGAGTTTATGTAGAGTAACCTACGATCAACTTTCATACTAAGATTATTTTTGTTGGTAATAAAAACCCCGGACCTTCATAAAAAATAATTTAAGTCCTCTTGGCTGCATAATTTTTTGCACGGAACAAATTTGAATTCCCATCGAAGACTCCAACGATCAGATTTTCGTGAACATTTAAATATCATTCTAACTTAAAAAAAAACTCGTGAAAATATCAAAAAGCATATGAATCCGGTCTTGTGTGCAAAATTTACGTTGATTGGAGTCGGAGTAGCTTTTTTGTAAACATTGATATTTATTTTAGATTTTTTATACCTGAACACGCATAACAAAAGTTACGGGATCTATATTCTTTTACTACAAACTAAGCAGGTAATTTCAAAGAATTTGGTCCTACTCAACTGATTTTTTTTTTTCTATTTGAGGACGCATATTTGAGACAATTCTGCATAAACGTTTATTTGCAATTCTATTCATGCTGATTTTAAAAGCCTCTTGCATAGCCACCCGCTCCCGTATTTTAACTGAATCAAGAATGGTTGCCCTCTTACAATTTGAAATTGTACTCACTTCTTTTTCGGTTTCTGTGTTTCAATATATATCCATGACTTTAATGATATGTTCACAATACATCTGTTTTGGAATAATAAATCATGTGCACAAGACTAAACTGGTCAACTGTAGCACGAGATAATGTACAGTTTATTATGTCAACATAACAGTAACAGTGTAATAATCTTTAAACTGGGTGCAATGGTTTAATTATTCTAGTATAAAAGGTATTGTGAACATATTTAATTTATGGATAGATACTGAAACACAAATTAAAAAAATTATTAAGTACAATTCTAAATTAAATCGCTGTGATTCGTCCATTCGTTTTTCAAATCAACAGAACAGCTGCATTCAACAGGTCGGGCACCTTTCCTTATACGGACACGCATTATTTAGCATACGTATGCCCCCGTCAATGCATGTATTAGTGTTTGTTAATAAATAAAGCATTTTTTTTTATTTTGGCAATTGACCAACCCACTGAATGATTTGCAATGCATGATGGACTACTTGTCTATAACTGACACACTACTTAATTTTTCACTTATTGCCAGAAAAGAATTGTTCTGACTTTTTTCTCTAATTACTTGCTGATATCACCTCTGAATATACTAATTCTTTCAAAAGAAACTTTATGCTGAGAGTAAAATTGAGAAAGGAATGGGGAATGTGTCAAAGAGACAACAACCCTACCAAAGAGCAGAAAACAGCCGAAGGCCACCAATGGGTCGTCAGCACAGCGAGAAAATCCAGCACCTGGAGGCGGGCTTAAGCTGGCCCCTAAACAAAAATGTGTACTAGTTCAATGAAAATGGACGTCACACTAAACTCCAAAACACAAAAATGAACTAAAATTGAAAAACATACAAGACTAATATATATACATATATACATATATTCAAAACAAATACCTATAAACTTTCATGCAAAAAAAATATTTTATGAATGGACATGTGTCAAATAGCAATTATGTATATCCCCATTGAGAGGCCCCTAACATACGGTAATTGCTCGAAGTCTTTATTGTCGACAGCCAGTGACCGACACGATATCATTTAAATATCAGGTGTCCATGTCCATGCTGTTATGAAATTCATTCTATTGTCTTTGTGTAAGTTGGGCCGTTTTAAAAAATGAATTGATTCGAAGAAAAAAATGGAAAGGAAACAAATACTTTGTTTTAGAAAAAGAGGAAAAAAACTAATTGATATACATTCAATATTAGGGACGAGAAAAAAAATACGACACTAAGATTAAAAAAGAAATGTTCATGTATGTGCATGAGAACCCCCCCCCCCCCCCCCCCCTCCTCACAAAAAAAAACAACACACACACATTCAGAAAAGAAGAATAGTCTGTGCATAATCATTCTGCTACCAAGGGTTTTTCACAAGCGATATCATACAAATTGTTTATAAAACATAACAAAAACGCAAGTAAAGACAATATTAATCGAAACACAACGGTTATTCCTGTACTAGTTTTGCGAATCATTTGATTTAGGCGTTGAGAACCTTTGGTGACCCCACAGTTTAAATGTCTATAATAAATACGACGTGATAAGTGGGCGGTACAGACGAACGTTCACCTAATTTAACCCAGTCAATGGGAGACTTGAGCGGTTGGTTCATGTCTGTCACATTTGTTTTTCGTAAATTGTTTTGTTATGAATTGGGCCGTTATTTTTCTCAATTTAATTAAATGGTCGTTTGATAAATCTGATTGCAAATTTATTTGTGGCAATTCATATAAAGCCTTTTTGTCGAATGAGAAAGGTAAATATGCTAGATTTAATTACTGGAGGTGTGATTAAATGATTAAAGCTGTAAATTTTCTCCTCGAAAACATTTAGGTACGTTTCAGCAATGAAGTTTATTGGCAGGTTGTAGGTATTCCTATGGGCACAAATTGTGCCCCTTTAACTGCAGACTTTTTCCTTTACTGTTATGAATCACAGTGTATGGCCAACCGCAGTAAAGACCCGTTTAAATTCGATTCAATTGATAAATTCAACAACACTTACCGTTATATTGATAATATTTTTTTTCGTTAAATAATCAAGAATTCTCTAATTATACTGCCGAAATTTACCCAAAGGAACTTGCTTTAAATAAATTAAAGATTAAAAGCCATAACTGTCCTTTTCTATATTAAGATATTTCAGTTTAACACGAGAAACTCTACACAAAAAAATTTACTACAAAAGGGACGATTTTTCTTTCCCTATTGTTAATTTTCATTTTTTGGACGGTGATGTTTCTCTAGCACCGATACGATGTTTATATATCACAACTCATTCGCTATGCCCGTGTCTGTAACAACATTTTGGATATTAATGAGCGTAATCTATGAATAACAATTTGTTAAGTCGTAGATTTCGTTACAACAAATTACTTTAATAAAATTGAGAATGGAAAGGTGGAATGCGTCAAAGAGAAAACAACCCGACCAAAGAGCAGAAACAGCCCAAGGCCACCAATGGGTCTTCAATACAGCGAGAAGATCCCGCACCCGGAGGCGGGCTTCAGCTGATCCCTCAACAATAATATATACTAGTTCAGCAAAAATGAACGTCACACTAAACAACGAAACATATAAATGAACCAAAATAAAAAAAAACATACAAGACTAACAAAGGCCAGAGGTTCCTGACTTGGGACAGGCACAAAAATGTTCGGTATTTTTGTAAATACATTTTATTACTCTTGTTTAGAAGTTAAATTAGGATTATTATCACGTAAACGTCATCTTTTATAAGGGTTATAATAGGGCCCTAACCCTGTTGACACATATTTAAAGGGTGGTAATATGTTTGTTACCCTCGGTTATCCATGTTTGCCGTTATAAAAATCTGAATTGTTTTGCAGTCATATGACTAATGGAATTAAATTTGATACAGGAAAATATAAAAATGAACAATGAAAATATTATGTTTATTCTTCGGTTAATAGCAACAGTTTCTTCTGTTTTCAGTCAATTATTTGGTAAATAACGAATTTTATCTCTTAACAGAAATATTTTTAATCGTCTGGCTTCTTTTCTATGAATGTCTGTCGTTGCAGCACAAACAGATTTTTGGGGTCAAATTGTGAAGGTTGTGAAGCCAGTTTGTTAGCATTAATTGTTTCATCCTTCTTTGACTGTTTATCTTCAGCTGATGATATTTCAGAGTTTTCTTTAGTAACTATATTGGAATTGTTAGTATCTATCTGATTTTTTGTTTTATCTACACTGTTGCTTACTAACTTAGTTTCAGATGGCACATTTTGTTTCTCCTCGTAATTAGTTGGCAAGGTTAAATTTGATTCCTCACCAGGACTATCTTTTTCAGTTTTCGGAAATGTTATTGACTCTTCTTTTACAACGGTTTTGTTATTTTCGTGCTGCTTTTCAGTTTCTGCAGCTTCACTTATATTCGCACTGGTTTGTGATGATGGCTCTTTTAAATCCAAGGCAGACTTTTTTGCCTCTGATTCAGAACTAAATACCAAGTCGTCGACATCAGTACCAGCCGAAGAGCTCATGGTAGGGAGCGTTTTAGACCTTTCTATATCAACCTCGGATTCGTTTTGTTGATGATTTGTTAAGTTAGAATCTTGATTGTCACTTATTTGTTGCTTTTGCGGAAGCTTTTTCTTCATATTCATTATTCTCCCATATTTAATCGTAAGATTTTGTCTTGAAGTTTTTAGTTCATTTGCTATAAAATCAAAATCGTCGCTGACAGGAGTATTCTGAAAAAAAAATGCAATTTTTTTTAATCATGGAATTTATTTAAAGATCAATAGCATATACGGATATAAAAGAATGATGTTTAAAGCAAAAAGAAAATAACTGGATTTGGTATTTGAGAAAAAGAACAAAAAAGAGTATAACATTACGTAAATGTTTTGGTTTAAATACTTGACAATTGATAAAATTTATTTCAATGGTATTTGTCACCTGCAAGAAAAATGTATGGTTTCTGTTGCATTTCCCTTGTACTGCGCTCACTACAGAATTCTAGTATAATGTTTTATGTTATTTTAATTTCATGCTCATTTGTGTCTTATTGGTACGTGTAACTTACTCCTAGGTCAAGTAATTCCAGAGCAATAACATTATCAGGATTGAGTAAAACTGTTATCAGGGCTAGAGCCCCTAAGTGTGTAAAATGGTTTTCACCAAGCTGAAATATATTAAAACATATGCTGTTAACCTTCAGGGCATCATAAGTAAAATATTATATTTTGAATAAAAGTAGTCAATCTTTTCTAAAGTATTGAATATTAAGCCTAATAATCTCATTATCTAGTAATACTTCTTATTAATATCAGAGACACATGTGTATATATGTCTCTGTCAATATCTTTAAACAAATCAGGCAAAAGGGGAGCACACAATGATTAACGTTAAGGTATTGGTACACTAAAACTAGTTTATCCCGCCACACGTATTTCCTTAAGTCGACAACCTCGTTAGTGCTTGTCGTTATAGTACCCAAGTAATGTATTGTCCCTTTAAGGATTTTGTGTTGAAGCCAAAACTTTTATAAATTTTGACTTGGATGGAGAGTTGTCTCATTGGCACTCATACCACATCTTCTTATATCTAACACACCTGGTTCATTTTTCTAACGTTTATGTCCAGTGTACAAATTCAGAGCACTATCACGGTCACATAAGCTGCTTAGAAAATATCAAATTATAGTCCCTCAGTTCAAAATTTGTATGGTCGACAACACGAATTAGTCGATCGTTATTATGTGATCATGTGACAAAGGATCGAAGACATATTTCCCCATAAATGTTTTTTCATCGATTACAACCCTTCCTAAATTTGATGCATTGCCGGTGTTTACTACTGCAGTGGCAATACGACGGGTGCCTTGTATATATACGAAGCAGAATATGGTTATCATCATAATTGTCGATGTACCTGGTTGTTCTGTGTTTACATATGTTTGTTTTTTTTGGTCCCGTTAACATATCTTGTTGCTTTGTAAGTATTGTCCGTGTACTATCATTTGGATTTCGGTAGGTTCGTCCAGAGACCTATATTATATGTCTCTGGTTCTACCTACTATTTACCTTATAACTCATTAGGTATATTGAGAATATTAAGATCATGTGTATATAAATAATACCTTTAAAACTTTTAAAGAATCATTGCAGTCCATTTTTGTTGCAATATTAATGATATCAGCATCATTTAATCTATTATGACGCATGTCAACTTCTTGTAGAGTTCTGTTCTTTTTTAAAACGTTGGCCATAACGGCTGCTCCTTCAGCTGCGAAACCATTAAAGCTTACATCAAGTACTCTCAAACCATAGTTTTTCTGTAATATTATATGAATTTGATTATCTTCTTAAAATTAACTTCTAAAGAAAGTTTAGATAGTATGAAGAGAAAACATGTCTGTGATGTTCGCACCTAGACATTGCCTTATTACAGGCTACACCGAAATATTCCGTTACTCAAATCGTTCTATTTTCAGTACTGATTTATTTTTTTGTTATTATAGTGTAAGATATCTGTATAAAAGTAAGGTGGTGTGGAATGGTTGCCAATGAGACAACTATCATCAAAGACCAAATTTCCATGATGCAATCAATAAAAGCAACCACATGTTGTGACCATTTGCATTATGTTATTTAAGTGTTTTTTTTTCAATCTTCTAGTGTAAGTCTTTCAGCAAGTTTCCTTGAATATTTAAGCCATGTACTTCTTTGTACTGATTAAGTTAAGACTGCTTTTGAATTTACAAAAACATTTACACCACAAGTTCAAATTAGAATGAATGACGACATAATTGCAATTCTTATTTTCAATCGAAAGCTGTCTTCGATAATAACCTACCTTCACACCAGCTAATAAGTCCATTGCACCTTTTCTCCTCAAATGATTCCAGCTGATATCGAAAGTTTCTAAGTTTTCGGTGTCACCTGTTGAAAAGATTGAAGTAAGTGAGCCATTAAAGAATGTTCCCAAACGGTGTGTAAAAAGTAAGACAAAAAAAAAATACCGAACTCCAAGGAAAATTCAAAACGGAAAGTACCTTAACAATTGGCAAAATCAAAAGCTAAAACACATTAAACGAATGGAAAACAACTGTGATATTCCTGACTTGGTACAGGCATTTTCTTATGTAGAAAATGGTGGATTAAACCTGATTTTAAAGCTAGCTAAACCTCCCACTTGTATGACAGTCGCAAAAAAATCCATTATATTTACAACAATGTGTGAACAAAACAAACAGGCATAATAGGTAAAAATGTCAAAAATAGGGGTACAGCAGTCAACATTGTGTTATAATCTCAATTACTATAAAAACAAACAAATATGTCAACAAAGAAAAACAAAATGGCATATAGACAAAGCACATACGCAACATTGAAACACAAGAATACAAAAAATGACAACAGCACAACACAATGGCGGGATGTACAAGTACCGAGCCACGTTTAAAGGATATTACCAAAAATGGACAAAACATGCAGTAAACGTTAATCATTTACAAAGACAAATAAAAGAACACTATAACACGTCATTAAGATGATAAACAACGTCAGTACCTAGAATCTTTACATCAAGACCATCATGTATTATTTGTGAATGATACAGAATATTTATCAACAAGGTCTTGGTATCTTCCGATGAACTTTTTTAGTGTGGGAGGCGAACGTAGCAATAAAATATAGAACCTTTTTTCCTTGAAATACATTCATAATAAGTAGATATAAGAAGATGTGGTATGAGTGCCAATGAGACAACTCTCCATCCAAGTCAAAAGACCTATATATATAGTAGCTTACGACTGTAGTTGATAGTTGTCTCATTGGCAATCAGACCACGTCTCCTTATTTTTTATATACACTATCAAAGTTGAAATAGTGGTATCAGAAATCAAATAACCTATGTAAACAGCATTTAAATGATATGATAAAGGTGCATATGATAACCTTTCTTTCGGGAAAGTTTTCTGAACAAACACATTTATGAAGAAGTTCAGTAGACAGCCATCGTCTGGAAATAATATTTCTTAGTTTAGGGTATAGCTTTATACTCAACAAAATCCTTTACCTGCTGTTATTTCACTCTTTAGTAACATTAAAAAGAATGTGAATTGTAACTGTGCATACAAGAGGATCTAGATTGGGTTTACAGAATAGAAAAGGGTTGGACCAATAAATAAAGAATAGAGAAAAATGGAGTGCTAAAATAGAGAACAAATAGAGAATAATTGGCAAAATAAATAAAGTATGCTTGAATGTTGAAAGAAATGTAGACCCCTATCCATCATACAGCGTGCTCTTTCGCAAATAGAACAACTAAATATTTGCTTACTCAAAACGTATCGAAATTGTAGGCCAGCCGTTTCAGCGAATTCATTGTGTGAAAAGTTGACGTGTTGCAGGCGCTGATTCTCCTAAAATTAAAAAGTACAACATTAATCATCATTCATGCAGATCCTGTATGGTGTTTGAAAAACTTCTATGAGATAACCATTACCTTCACCATTTATTTAAACCTCAAGAGTTGGATGGGGAGAAGAAATACGGTCATATGGACTTCCTCCTCGTGTTTCAGATTTATGCTCTTATAAAATACAAGATTATGGAGTGTGGTTCCTCTATGTCCATTATTGTAGGAATATTTATCTAAAACTCATATTTCACTGTTCAGCCCAATTCTTCTATCAAGTCAGACGTCAGGCGCTACCCTGATATACCCTGTCTTTTGTTTTTGTCCTCTGGTTTTGAAGTTTACGTATTTTGTCGGTTGCCTGATGACGGGTAGCGCTTGACGTCTTTAGCCGAACAGTTTCATCTTTTAACTTGATTCAATTTCCGTGTGCTGGTTCATATTTTGGATGTCAGTCATTGCTCCTTTCAATTGGAAATACGGATAACAAAATGAAACTCAGAAACGGAAAAATACTTAATACCAATCTCGGCGTATTGCTGTGTGTTTGTTTAATCCACATTGGCTAAAGGTATAGGGAGAGGGTTGGGATCTCACAACACACGTTTAACCCAGCCGCATTTGTGCGCCTGTCCTAAGTCAGGAACTGGTCTCTGGCCTTTGTTAATTTTGTATGTCTTTTTAGTTTTGGTTCATTTATATGTTTCAGAGTTTAGTGTGGCGTCCATTTTAGCTGAACTAGTATACATTTTAGTTAAGGAGCCAGATAAAGCCCGCCTCCGGTTGTGGGATTTTCTCGCAGTGTTGAAGACCCATTAGTGGCCTTGGGCTGTGTTCTGCTCTTTGGTCGGGTTGTTGTCTCTTTGACACATTCCCCGTTTCCATCTTCAAGTTTATTCACCAGTCTGTAAGACCAGTTCGTTCGAATTGAGGTAGTGAATAACAGTATTACAATTTATTGTCATCTATTAGATAACTAGCATTGTACAAATAAAATGTATAGATAAAAAAAAATACAGGCAATAAAAATACCCAGCTTCGTTCGTCTGATCAAAATTGTGACGTAAATTTAGATGCATGCACTTATTGGGAGTGTATTACGCTCTCTGCACGCAAAGCACCCTAGTAATCTCTAGGGCTTTGAGGGGTCTGTGTAAATCGGCTTTTGCTGTTCTAAATTGGACATCAATGTTTAAAGGTCCGGCTCAGCTGCTACAGTTGTCGTTGCTGGAGTTACTTAGTAATACATGTTTTTTTCTTCGAAAAATACTGAGCCATAAAGGACCAAACTGAAAAGATATGTTACCTAGACGGTAGTCACATCGTCACGAGTGCAAATATAAGATGGCCACTATTGTCAATAGATTCTGATTGGTTGGAATATCTTCTTGCCAAAAAAACATTCAGCTAATTGTTACATGGTATGATTATTATTTTGGTCTTCAAAATCAAACTTTTACTTCTAGGGCCGATCTAAAATTCAAGATGACCGCCATCGCATATCATTGTTTGACATGGGGCTCTACGGGGAAATAAACGTAGAGAGCACTTTCTATGCCTAATACAGATTTGAACAAATATTTTGTCTGCATGGGTCGTGACATGACGGTATCTCTTAAAATTTGTACTTAGGTGCCAACCATGAAGTTCAAGATGACCGCATTCACAGACAAGCTTAATACGTCGAACAATTTGAGAAACATAACTTCGGAGTAAAAAGTGCAAACAGCTTCATGCTTTCGACATGAAATCAAAGATTGGCGTCCACTCGAGTCATATAATTTAACAAAGACCCTTACTAAAATATACTTTACAGCTTCTTGATTGAAACACGAACACATCCTATAGTAATATTATCAATGATATGATTTTGACTTGGATATCGCTTTTCATACATAGTAACGTAATACATGAATGAGTAGAAATATAAACTTGTACTGCTTGGTGATGATTTTCTGAAATCAAAGATGACCAACACTGTCAAAACAAAGTTTTAGTTTGATCCGTTGGAAAACATCTTCCGGTAACCAACTTTCATATAAACATATAAATGTTTAATTTTTTATGCATACCAAATAAGTGAACGGTTACAGGTTTGTATTAATTATTTATTCCACATAATTTTTTAATGGTAGAATGTAATAAATAATCGAAAGCAAAGCCATTTGTTTTTAGCTTCAAACAAGTTTTTTATTCATGAAGTATGAAACATCAGGTTACGTACCTTCATTACTTGACCAAATATAATGGAATCTTCGTCTTTAAAGCCATTCCCTGAGGAAAGAAACAAAATACTAGTACATAGAAAGCTGAAAGACTTTTTTGCACCATTTCGTATTTGACATACAAGTTGATATTAACTGCAAGAATATACAATTGAATATTTCCATTATAATATTTCAAAAAATAGAACCGTGCTAATGGCCATTTTAAACTGTATACGTCAAATAAAGAAATAACTTGAGATTGGGGAGTGGGCAGCTGGGTCTTTCAGTCTTTAATCTGCCCATGATTCTCAAAAAGTGTTTTTGTACAGATATCAATGAGACCGTTTTTATTTTTTAGCATGATAAATGTTTTCACATATACTACTTTATTTGAGTTTTTATAGTATAGGTATGAAGGTCGTTCTGATCATCACTGAATCATACCAAAGCATCAGACAGTAGTGAATTCATCGATTTCACCACAAAAATGAACACACTTACTTTAATTTAGTGTTCATCGAACTTCCGACACTCAAGTTATTTCAGCAGAAAGTGTAGTATGGTATAACATGCATTATAATCATCTTTTTTCGTGGCGAGAGACTGTGATGTTCACTTTTTTGATGAAATTTTCGCTCAAATTTGTCAATTTTTGGTGACGTTTGAGACCTTTTCATGCGATTAATAAGCATTTCAACTTTATTGAAAAACTTTGAATCGTGTAGTTTTAAATCTAAAATCTAATTATCATAAATGCAAAATGAATATTCTAAATCATGTTATTAATTTATCAATATATTTTTAATCAAATTTTTGGGGCCAAATGAAGCCTTTTATGCTCTCCATTCACGTTCTCCGGTACAAATAGGAACACGATAAAACAGTAATACTTGTTTTGCATTTCTTATTGATGTAATAATGCGAATAAAATTATCAGTGGCGTATACGTCAATGAAATAGTACCCACAACGAAAAAAAAATCTACAACAATTGACAAGTGTCTATATAAATACAATGCGTAAGGCTTTTCAGCCATCCACAGCCCAGAAAAGTTGCGAATACAATTAAGAGACCATCGGAGACCGGTCACCAACACCGAACTCTGAGACATGCCAATGAACGCACAACAGGGTTAGTTTTCTTGAGGTCTCAATCCTCCCCTTTTTTGTAGAATGTGCAAATGTATAGTACTAAGTAATTAACGTCTGTAGATTAAGGGGACAGTTTTGTCATTATCATAACAACTGTTAATAGCGTAACAGTGTATTGTCATCTACCAGAAAACTACCATTGTACAAATAAAATGTAAAATGTAAACTATACACAAAATATATATCAACACAAGTATATGACATATGATTATGAAACAAGATATTCCTCAACAAGATTCAAATATAATATCTCACATTTGGCTAAATATTCTCGTTAACGCCGTCATTATAGATTGATTGATAAGCAAGTTATTGTTTGCTTTACGTCCAGTGGAAAATATTTCATGCATGTTCAAGACGACCTTCATTATTGACAAGAGGGCATTCGTTTACAGTGATTTTTATGTTATTAAATTATTTGTAAGAACTGTGTTTTAACTTTTTTTTAAAATATACATTTATCTCAAACTATCCTTGAAATGCCGTATATGTGCGACGTTACTAATGATGATCTTATCTATTTTTCTTAACTTTCTATAACTGTCAAGTAAAAATCACAATTGAGACCTTAATTATATGCTTATTAGATTTACCTGACAAAGATAGTATCTGCAAAGTGGGATGTTCACGGAGAAACTCTTTCAATGCAACTGCTCCTGCAGTATGTAACTTGTTTTCCGCTAAATTCTATGGAATAAACAATTTTAATAAAGATATTACAATACAACTTATCGTTATACTACTTCTTCAAATTTTCATCCGAGTTCTTGTTTTTAAATTATAAATCCAGTTCATCCATTTGTTAAAAATTTTGCATCACTTTGATTTCCATTTTCAAGTCTTTCTACAAATACTGTAGTGGCCTGTAATAATTCCAGTGTTTGTTGTTTTTATACTATTATGCACGAATCAATTAACAAATAACAACATTTGTATAGAGAGTCGTCACCTTTTTTTAACGATCAATGCTTTTGAATGGAAACATATGGTTGGACACTCCCCCCCTTTTATCCTGGGTTGGGACCCGCCACCCCCCAACCCTTTTTAAAATGGCTGGATCCGCCCCTGCGAACAATAGTCAGGAGAATCATTTTCAAAAATCTACAGAAGTATATGTATTACCAAAGAGTTCAATGATGTATTTCCATGCAAAGCGTCGACCAATGATTGTACACCTTTCGCTCCCATATCATTTCCAGACAGGTCTATAACTGTTATTGAGTCATGAAGCTGTCAAGTAAGAAAAGTATACAAATAAATATACTAACCAATTAAACATACAAATATTTGCCAGAAAAATAAATTTACTGTCACAGTGGTAAACATTTATTAAAATGGAGATGGTTGAGCCAAAAAACTGTTAAAACTGAACGCTCAACAAAATGCTTAGATGGAATTAATGATTAACATTGCTGTTTTACATAAGACTATATAAAATAAACAATTATTAAACAAAGTTATATATACATATTCACCATTAATGGTGTAGCAAGTGCCTGCACACCCTGTGTTCCCAAGTTGTAATTTGGAAGAGATACAGTATGTGTGTCTGGTGTTTCCCAGTATTGTCTTACAGGTACCACTTTGAAACGGTTGCAGGCTTTTTCATACATTTTCTGCATAACTTTTGGTCTTTCCAATTTCTGTTTTCTCTTCTCTACGAAAAATGAAATAATTTGTAAAGAAAGGACAATAACAAAAATCTTAAACATCTATTATTTAATGTCATCAATAAATAAAAAAAAACTTACCTTCCGAAATTGTCAACAGAGTATCATCAGTAGACAAAAATGGAATTGTAAGAGTACGTATAACATTTAAATTCCTATCCATTTTACTTAAAACAATCTTCTCATTCCCAGTCGATTTTTTGCTTTTAGACTTGCTTAAAGTTCAACGCTTCATAAAGCATTCAAACAATAATGAAATACATGCAACAACGAAGCTGAATATAGCGTACAATAGTTTCGTTCAATATTTCGATCTAGGATTACTTTGAATTCCGAGATGAAGAAAACTGTATTTAAATTATAAATTGACTGTACAAACAGCTCACGTATATATAATCTGAGAAATGACATTTTGCCGACCTTGTTGAAGGTTTATTGTTTCTTAAGAAAACAATAAAACTGATCAAATATTTATGTGTTTGTATATTTATGAACAAAAAGATTGAAAGAAACATCTCTTGTAAATTTGTCTCTTAAGTTCGAAAGTGCGATATGCAATCAATATAAAAACATGATTTTCTTTTAATAATGTTCGCTAATCCTCAGCTTAACTGGATAACACTGTACAAAAAAATGTTTCTTTTGATTTCGACTACTTAAAACCAAGACCACGTAAGAAGATTAGATAGCGATGAGTAGTACATGCATGCGAAAATAAAATTTTCGGTTTACAGGTATATTAGTATGCAACATGGGTTTTAAAATGTAATATATTGAAAAGACTTTAAAATGTAGTTTATTTGCTAATCTCTTTTTTCCTGACAAGCATTTGAACTATGAAAAATATTTTTTGTCAAACATACTGATTTTAATGATATCGGGACGAAAGTCGTATACACCTTTTTACATAAATAAATAACGTATAGATTATTTCCAGAGCTGTAGACTGAGCTATATATCACGTAAAACTGATCCATATAAAATCGATTTCTCTGTAGGAAAATACCAATTAGCATACTCAATTCTTGCTATTTGTGGCTATTTAAGTATTTGTTTTCATTTGATGGCAGTTAAAATCGTAATTGAAAAAATTATTGTGTTTGTCAAAATCGTTCCGGATTTCCGTTGGCTTTTTTCTACTACCAAATCTGCTGTAATAACAGAACAATTTAAAAGTATTTTACGATGAATTTCCTCGTAATAGTTTAGGTTGATGTTCTTTTTCGCTGCTTGATTCGAGCATACTATACGAGTACACTATGCATTACAAGGTTAGAAAAAAAATCATATATTAGACATTGAGGAATCAAAATACATTAGCTGGTAATAGTTACAGCCATATGATTTTCATATTAGGGAAAACATGTGTATACACGTACCTGCATCTAAAAATATATAATCCAAGACTGGTCCGGAAGATGGACAAATAAAAAGGAGGTGGTACATGTGATCAGCAATCTGATTATAGTTTAGATTTATAAATCAGAGATCTATATTTCATATATGATGTGTTTTTTTTTCTTGTTAACCAAACTGATAATTAGAATTATATCAAAGAGTTAAAAATCGAACAATTGTTTATTGTTTTCAACACATGTTTGCAAACAATACGTTTGAATTTCTTCTTTTCGAAGAATGTATTTCGGTAATTAAACTTCATAATTATTGAAACTGAAACTAATACCGGCCAAATCTATATGTGTGCTAAATTTTTATATCATGAGCTACACTTATTCACTTCTAATATATTCACACTTTAAACCATAAAAAATGGACCTTTCCGCTTTCCACCTTGACTTGGACCGATTTTGTTTTGTTATATTGCGTTTAATTAATGTCAACTTATTTTTTTTTATTTTTAGAGTACGGAAGATATACCAAAGGGAAAGTCAAATTCATCAGTCAAAAACTAACTGGCAATGCCATGGCAAAAAAAGAAAAACTACACAAAGAAAAACAACAGTGTGTGAAGTCTGCCTAATAAGAATAAGAGATAAATTCGACAAGAGGAACACAGGTGGTTCATATAGGAATGGCGACTGGTTGTTGAAAAACACGTCAAAAAACGTCCTCGAAACGTAATAAATTGGTTGTCAATAAAAAATAAAGCATCTTAATGTTTTCTGTTACAGAGAATGTATGATTGTAAAGGGTAGAGAAGTCAAATGTTTTATATCATTGTACGAGCAGAGTGACTTAGATTGTATGTATTATAACAAATCTTTTCATATATTAAGTATACACATATGTGTCACCCACCCTTAAAAGAAGGACAGTAACTCTGAAGCCCTGCTGATAAAATATATTTTAAATCATTTGGAAAGAAGTTTCGTGGAGAATTTGACAGACCCAGCAATATAACGTTGGTTTATGGACACTTATCGTGTAATCTGGGTATCCAGTAGCTAGTTCTATATCTTTGGTTGAAATTTCAAAGAAACATAAAACAGATCTATGATTTATGATTGTTTAGAATTCACTCTTTAGCAAATATTTATGTTGGTTCCAAGTGAACTGTCAATTCCATAATTCCTTTATCAAATAGTTTATTTACTAACAAACAAAAAAGATATAGGTCTGGGGCTTTGTCTGCGGGAAAAAAATATATTTGTCATGGAGGTATAGGATAGGTGTTGAGCAACATTTCGGGCAGCACGAGTGTTCATAGACCCATTAAAAGTCTAGACTTGTATAAACGATCTCACAGCCTTAACCCCTTCTGAAAAGGTATCAACAGTTTCTTATTTGCCTTTTATCCACTGTCTGGCAGAATCACCTTCGGAATCCATTAGATTTTTGAAGATTTATTTTCAGTTAATGTATTTAGGCTATTGGTATTTAGGCTCTTTGGCTAAGTTTAGGTCAACAGTTATATAAAGTGGCCTGCCTGAATGTTCAAGGGGGACTTGCGCAGATAGCATCAGGAGGTTTCTTCTTGAAGTCGACAATATCGAAATCCTGCAAGTTACACGTTTCTTTGTGGTTGAAAAGAAATAGCCGCAATTAGTATGGTGTCGTACAAGAGATGATTGGAGCCGACTGATCTTTAAAGCATATAAATATTGTATACTAGTATTGGACTGATTGTTAATGAAAGATATTGACTAAATGTCCGGCATTTAGACATTTTTTCACAAGAAAAGTTGGGAAAGTGTTCGCATAGCAACATTATAAACTAGATTTACACAGCTCTCCGATAATCTCCTGTGCCCTTTGTTTGTTATATTTAATAAAGGAAATATTCACATTATATGTTAACTCTATTTAGTTCGAATATTTCTTTTTTTTATTAATACTGTTTACAAGAAAGTTTTCTTGTGAACTTATGAGCAATAGCTTCCTTTCGTAAAATGTGCTTAACATCTTATTTGGAAGTGAGACCATTTTTGTAACTAGTTTAACTCATAATATATAAACTTAAGTCTGGTTTGGAATATCAACGAATCAAAACTGAAATCTTACCACGAAGTTCTTCATCAGGAATATCATGAATATCTAAATCCTTTGTATTTTGCCTGGAGTTTTCAGTACTATTTGGATCTGATTCAGTCTCTCTACGTGATCGTCTTAGTCTACTTGACGCGCTTGTTACTGTTCTTCTTCCCTGTCTACTATTTTGTGAAACGGGGGCCTAAAAATAAAATGTAAAGCAAGTGAAAAATTGAGACACGAAACCGCATCTCAAATGAGACAGTAAGGTCATTTATAATGCACACGATATAAATAAGTCCCAGACATACAGTCCCCAGTCAAGAGAATGAACGTTACCAAAAAAAAAGTGATTGTATATCACCCTACTTTTCCGTTTATTCCACTGTTTATGACTTTTAAAGAAGATTTCAAGTCATTAAGTCTCTGGCGGAGAATTGTCTCATTGGCAATCATACTACATCTTCTAATTTTCATAGTACTGCAAGTTTAGGAACGCAACCTTAATCTAATGTATATAATAGGCCTCAGTATCCTTTCTATGAATATCTAGTTCTTTACTTTTTTCTATAAAAAAAATATGAGTATGTTACCAAACGGAGAATAAGAAACAGTCGAAGAGAGACGAAAAGACAAACAACAGTCTACAAAGCACTAATATAAAACTATAACGACAGAGCAACACGATCGCCAACAAATACCGAATGTAAACTCAGGTACTGAGGATAGTAAGCAGCTAGGTTATGCACCATATGTGGCACTCGCCGTGTTTCTCGTGGTTAAATTAGATGTTCAGTTTCGTTAATAGAAGTTATACCTATTTAATCATATATCATAATACATTTGAATGCTGTACAAGTCGGCAGTGGTCAATATTTTTGGGAGTAAAATAAAACAAAATACAAAATATACTAAAATAATTAGACCATTACTCACTTCATTTATCTCTGTCATTTTCGGCTCATCAACTATCCCTTGTTAGAATTGTATTTTGTTTATACCATGAGACTAATATTGTCAAAACAATGAAACAATTAAGTCATTGGTGCATTTGTTTAATCTATTGTTACCTACTGGTTTCACTTAAAGACAATTTGACAGTTGGTCCATATCACGATTTGATCCACAACAATGGTATTTTCTGCCAATCAGATTTAAAAATCAAATTCATTCTTTCTTTTATTACGTATTTTTTTTTGTATCGTTTCCACATATATAATTATATTTTATGTATTTGTGCAGTAGAAATTTTCGATCATTGAAGTTTTTTGACAAAGTACTTTTTCAATTGAATAATTTTACTATTTCTTATCTTCTCGTTATACGACAAAAAATACAATTTCATTTAAATTTCTACTAGAAATGTCCGTCCACTTTTCCGCTTTAAACTGATGATATACCAAGATTTGTGAAAAAAAACCTTTCATCTTATGTTTATAATATCTATGCTCAACATGATCTTATAATGTATGTGAACTATTAGATATTTCACTGCCGACCTCCCTACCCCCTAATAAAATATCTTAATCTGTATCTTCCATATAAATATATACATTTGTCAAGTCTACTTACTTTCAGTATAATACGCCGCTGTCTGGCTGCTCCAGGAGTATAGCTGCTTGGTCTAATTAATGAGCTCAACAATATTACGTGTTTCCCTTCTTTCTCCATTCTTTTGATTGAAAAGTTTCGGAAGTTTGGATTGTTAAGTGTGTATTGATTACAAGGATGTCACCGCTTACCTTTTATCGCCAAGAGATACTTGTGGAATTGTTTGTTGTTTATCAGTTTAATACCAAACAATCTATATTTTAATAAAGATTAGACAAAATCTGGTCCTATTATGATGCTTTGTATAGACTGTCGTGTCCTATCTTTTCGTCATCATAATTTAATAAATAATTGAACAAACTGGACGGTTTAATAAGAAATGATTGAAAGTTACATTAGTGAACTACATGGCCGATAATATAATATACACTGTCAGATATAACTTGTAGTTCTATTCTTGTATTTAATTTCATCATGGCAATGAAATAATTAAAAAAATCATGATTGACATAGGTTTTCACATATGGTTGTAGATATGCCTTGTCAGTGCATATGATGACATCATCTCGATGTGTACGTATATTCATTTACCTTTCTGGATCGCCTAAGTTGTCTCGGGTTTTTGGTGGGGTTCGTTTTGCTCAGCCTTCAGTTTTTTGTATAGTTTTCATGGAATGATTTATACAATTTAAGAGGTACAGTGGCTGATACTATAGGTTAAGAAGATATAATTTTTCATTATCAACAGATCGAGTATTTGGAGATTGCTCTTATTGATTGCGTCGGCATTCTTATACGTCATTTGTTTACAGTATATGTGTTGGAGTTTGGTTATTGTCTTCTTTTTCTTCCTCCAAATACTGCTCACATTCAACATGATGAATATTCTGGCAAGTTGCGCATGATTAAAAACAGGTTAAAAACAAATTGTTCAGTTGATTTAGTTTGAGGGTTTGGTCACTTGAGACTTGAATATCTGAAGAAATTTAGCTGTGGCGATATCTGGAGGCAGTTTGTTCCAATCCTTGACGGTGTTTACGAAGAAGGACCATTTCCTACAGTCTTTGGTGGCTGGCTGTAATAGGTAAGTATGATGTCCTGTCCGGTTAGAGCTTCTTGTTGGTTTTTGTAGGTATTTACTCTTGTCTATGGCCACAAGGTCGTTCGTTATTTTGTAACACATGATGAGTCGAGCTTCTTTTCGTCTTGTTTGTAACCTTTTTCATCCTAATTCAGTTATCATGTTGCTGACACTTGATCTATTTCTATGTCTGCTGGTTACATATCGTGCTGCTCGTCTTTGTACCTTTTCAATTTTATCTATGTGGTTTTGCTGGTATGGGTCCCATACTGTCATGGCGTATTCCATTTGCGGTCTTACTAATATTTTATAGGCATGCTCTTTGATGGATTTTGAGCTAATGTGGAGGTTTCGGTGTAAGAAACTTAGGCTTCGGCTGGCTTTTCTTGTGATGTTGTTAATGTGCTCTCCCCAATCTAGATCATTTGCAATTGTGCAGCCTATGAATTTAGTCGATGTTTCATGCTCAAGATTATGGCCGTGGAGTTTGCAGTCCCACTTGATTGGCTTTTTCTTTTTTGTGACTGTGAGGACGCTGTATTTTTTAGGATGGAACTCCATTTTCCAAAGTTTTTTCAATTTTGCCAGTTTGTCCAGGTCTTCTTGGAGTTTATAGCAGTCGTTGTCTGTGGAAATGGTCAAATAGACCACAGTATCGTCCGCAAACAGTCTCACTGTGGAGTGTAGGCCTTCTGGTAGGTCGTTGATGTAAAAAAGAAAGAGACTGGGTCCTAAGACTGATCCTTGTGGTACTCCGGATTCTACTTTCACGTTGTCTGATGTTTCGCCTTCAACAACTATTACTTGGGTACTGTTGGTGAGAAATTCCTTTATCCATTTGTTTGTTTTACTTCGAAGGCCATAATGGTGTAGTTTATGGAGGAGTAAACTGTGGGACATATTTTCAAAAGCTTTTGAAAAGTCCAGTATTAGCAGATCTGATTGTTTTCCTTTTTCACTTTTCTTGTATTTGATATAGGTCCAGAATCTTTTTGTTGGTGAACGGATGTCCTCGTTATCTTCTGGAATTATTATGTCTTCTATATATTTCCAATAGGTTTGTCTTGATTTTCTTTGGATGGTTTGTTTCAGTTGTTTAAATCTTTTAATACCAGTAGCATGGTTTGATTTTAAAATTGTTTTTTATTTCAAAATGTATCTTCTTTTGACCAAGATAATAGCGGGAGGGAGAGGTTGACTTCTTAAAACCTTTAACCCTTACTACATGATGGACGTCACGGGTCTTTTATAACTGACCATACGGTATGGATTTTTTTTATTGTTGAAGGCTGTACGGTGACCTATAATTGCTTACATCCACGTCATTGTAAATCTGGTGAAAAGTTGTCTCATTGGCAATCATACTACATCTCCTTATGTTTTATATAGACAAACAAACAACGATCATGTTCCGCGTGTCATGTAAAATATGGAATGAACTCGGAATCTATTTGTCAAAGGACTAATACAAGGGCTATTAGTTTCTTCGTATACTGATATTAATATTATCTTATCCTTAATATGGACAGAAATATGCTCAAATATTCAACAACATTTATTAGAAAAAGACGTTTTTAGAATTTTTAAAGACTGTTCCGCTTAATTCATCTGGGACTATTATACTAAGTAACTTAATAGTATAATAGTCCCAGAATTCATGTATAACGTGACAGTAACCAAATTGCACCTATTTTGACAGTTTTTTTACCTACTTTTATTTATGGTACAGAAGAAATTTTCCATTCTGTGTTTATTTTGTAGATGTATCATTATATACTATATAAATCCACCAATTTAATTTTGAATCCATATTGAATCATAGAAAAATATGTTTGAACCGACCTCGAAACGACCCATAATTCTATATCGAGGAGTACCCAAATTGCATCCATGCTTAAATTCACATCCGTAAAAATCAAATAACTAAAATTTTGTTTATTTTTTTTCAAATATTTAGAACAATTTGACAATAGTTCATGCTTACTAATAATTTCTTTAAGGTATAGTGCTTGTGACATATTGTAATTGCTCATTTATAAAAGTTAACTTTTTGTGGACGTCGCATGGCGACGTTTCCGTAGAGTTTACTTTTTCACTGAATACTCCATCTGTGACCATTTTGTGTATATTTAAAAATATCTATCTATGTTGAAAGACGTGCATAATGTCAAATCATTAAAATACAAATTGTTTTATAGTCTCTAAGAAAACTTGTAAAATTTCCACTGCTATTTATGCTAAATATGTGCAATTTGGGTATTCGGTGCAATTTGGGTACTGTTATATTTTATCAAAATGCTATATACGTTAGCTTTCTAGTAAAGATGGTCAAAATCTGCAAATCGTTATGATCCGTTATCTATTAGGGCGCATTACGTTTGGGGATTAATTTTTTTTTACGTTTGCTCGCAGCTTTTGATTACATTTGCGCACATTTATTTTACAGGTAAACTCAGGTTAAAATAAAGTTAATTAATAAAAATAATATAAAAATACAAATATGACTATAATTTGTGAATTTTCATAATAAATATGACTATAAATTATTAATTTTGAAAATATTTGTTAATTCAAATAAAAAAAAAACACAAAAAAAGATGTGTAAATTTATCAGGGTTATAACTTTTCAAGTGAGCCTTCCTGGTTAATCACCACTCTTCGTCACTATACTGTTTTTTTTTTCATCTCATCTTGTCATGTGAGTTTATGTAATGTTATAACGTTTGATGAACTTCTTTGTACCATTGTAACTCATGTACTATATATCAGTACTTTTAATTTTTAGATTAGCTATGTTTTAACAAATTTTACATTTTTATCTGTATATATTTCTAGGATTTAGTACTTGTGCATAATAAAATCCCACTTCCACCTCCTCGTTGGTGAGCAGGGGACTTAGGAAGGGGTACTTGTACTTGTAAATAATTGAATAAATCAATAAATGGATAGGTATTATTACCTGTGTTTACCTGTCAAATAAATGCGCGCAAATATAATCAAAAGTTGCGCGCAAACGTAATGATTTTTAAATGTAATGGTAATGCGCGCAGGTATCAGGTCCGTTCGCGCCCAATACACGTTCGCACCCTACACGTTCGCACCCAATTTTTATTCAAATTCAAGTTGAATTATTAGATATTTTTTTATATGTATATACTAAAAAAATAATATTTTCCTGAATAAAAATTGGGGAATTATTATATGAAAGTTTTTTTAATCAATTTAAAAATGTTAATTATGTACAAATGTATGATTACTGCTAGAGTGGGGTGCTCATTTTCGCCATAATTTCCATGTTTTCTGCAGTTTATGTTCAGGTCTTTATGTTTTTGAAGTAAACTGATATTTCTATATGAAGATAACATCAAAAGCAAAATATTCTTAGCTTGAAAACGTGTTTCCTTGAAAAAATTCATCTGAAAAGTTAGATTAAAGGCTATTTGAAATTTCCTGATGTTTTGTCAAAGGGGGACACATATTCGCCGTTTTTACACATCTATTTAAAACCAAATAACTGCAGCTTTAAACAATATTTATCAAATCAATTTCATTATAGATGAATAGCAGACATTTCAAAGGTGTAAATAACTGAAATTTAGGGCAATCAGTCAAAGAATTACTAAGAAATACTTCTTTAAAATCGTGCTTTTCATTCAGGAAATTGGCCGAAAATCGTTGTTCGTTTTTCGGTCCTTTGCGGTAAGTGCCGACATTTTGTCTAAGTTTAAAAAATAATCATATTTGTTATAAAAATATAATTTACCGGCACATTTCTTCCATTTCAGCCATCCTTTGAAGTTTTTACACCTAAAAATCACAAAACGGCGAAATTGTGTCCCGGCGAATATGTGCGCCCCACTCTAATTGGTATTTTACACAGCTAAATTTTTGAAGATTTAAAAAAAATCCGGATTTAAAGAGAGGCGAAAGATAATAAAGGGATATTCAAACTCATAAGTGGAAGAAAACTGACAATGCCAATGCCCATGGCAAAAAACGAAAAACAACCAAAAGACAACCAACAGTCTAAATATTCTGTACATGAACTGAGAAAACTTTTTTTTACAA